GTTAAATTGTTTTTATTAAGAAAAATAGAAATGTTCCTTTTAATTTCGTTACGTTACAATAAATAAATTTTTTTCTTTTTTCCTTCTTATATTTCTACCTTATATTTTTCTTATCTTCGTATACCATCAAATTCAATAATATTCCTCCAGGATTTTTTTTTTTTTTTTTTTATTATCCAATTCCAATTTCCAAAACTATTCCATTTTCTCACCATATATTTCGCACGTTATATTTCGTTAAAACAAAATTAATTTCAGAAAGTATCGTTAATACGTCAAAGAACTTTTAACCGTTTTCGTAAACGTTTCGAGTATATTCTCTTTAAAGCAAACAAGCAACTGGTTCGTTTAATCACGAATCGTCGTGATTTGCGTTTAGCACTTGTCTATTTGTCATGGGGGCAAGCATTCGTGACGAGGCGTTTGCTCGACCGCGTTGATTTCACGCGTCACTGCCAAAGCAAATTTCCCGAATCCAATATTTCCGTATGGCTCCTGTACAATTCACCGGAATAACGCGTGGATAATGAACCTTATGATCCGCCTCTACGATAATCAATTTCGACATAGCGAGCCATCTTTCTTTGACCATGCACCATAGTTTAATCAAGCTTCGCCGATTTAGACGGAAACAGAATTCGTTTGTCTTTGAGGATTTAATTGTCTCGTTCAATATCAGTTTGTACGGTACAACAATGCTACGATAATTGTTACGAAGTTATACCGTGTCATTGGCTCAATATCGAATCAATGAAATAAGAAAAATGAAATATAAAAATTTCATTTTATTGTCTTTGTTATAGAATTATTGCAATCAAATTATCTAACTTTTTAAATCTGTCTCAAATTCTTCAAACTGAAGAAATTTATTAACGACAAAAAAATCTTAAGATTTAATTTAAAATAATTCAAAGCACGTAACACGATTATGTGTAATAGTAACTTTATCTCGTTTCCACCAGTTCAAGAAGTGAATTAAAAAATTAAGAAAATAATCTGCCTCTATAAGTGACGGATTAGTTAGGAAAGTGATACTTTAAATAGCACGTTATCGCTTTCAATTTAAAAAATCGTGAAGAATGAAAAAATGGTACAAGAGGGAAATAAAAATTTACAAGAGAACCGCGGCATTTTGCCAGAGAATGCCCGAATGCCCACAAATCAACGTCGACTTTACATTTTAAACAGTTTTCGAGGTAACTACCTACGAACTTGACTGGGAAATTCCCACGTTAGCTAACCATCAGGATCTCCTAGGATGTCGTGGACTGTTCCTGACGGGAAAACTAATCCGGCAAGCTTGAAATATAGTAGGTAAGTAACCATAGTGGAAATTGCGGCTGGTTTCCTCTGTGTAATTGAATCCATGCCTTGTTAAACTTTTGGAATTTCCTTTATTTTTATTCCTTGCTGGTTCATCTAGCTCAATAAAGTGTTTCGAAATGAAAATTTTATGAAAGATTAATATTATCTATTCGAGTACTTTGTAATATAATATTTAGGAAATGGTAAAAATATAGGTTAGATATTTGTTCAAAATTAAATATCCTGTATCCTTCCTTATATTCTTTTAATGTTTTAAAAAACAAATTTGATATTGGATGATAACGAAATTCACAATAATTATTTCATATTTTTCTCGAGATTATAAATCTCTTAAATAGAAAAACACAGCCGAGTCAAAAATAACCTAAAAAAACGAAGCAGAGTTATATGTTCGCATATATCTATCAATATTATTATTTTAATCAATTTTCATGATCTTTTTATCGATTTAAAAAAGAAAATTAATTATTAAACTTTCAAAATTTTCAAACAGCTATAAAATAAAATTCAATAGAATTCGAACGAAAATCCTTCGATAAATGTCAATAACACGAATATTTTACCTCTCTGTGTGACTCTGCAAAAATTGTAATTCGTGCAAAGAAATGGCGTAAATGTTTATCACAGATTATCGCAAATAAATATCAAATAATGATAATTGCTCAGCTCGTGACTTTCAGGGAAACCACGCGAACACGCCATTTCCAGGCGTACCGCGATATTTTCGAAAGAATGGAATCGTCGTTTAATTAACCTGTCAGAATACAATCTCTGGGACACTCTCGTCGAGTGCATTCGTTTCGCGAGAATTATTACGTTCCGTATATAGTTCGAGTCAGAATCTTAAATCGAATCGTTTCTTCTATCAAAATCGAACTTCCGAAAATCATCGTCCACGAAACATCGAAGGTAAGTAAGATACCACAAACGAATTAAATTAAATCCTGGAGCATGAAGAAGGCAAACTTCGTTATCGGAATGTTTTATTTAAATATCGTGATGTTGAAATGAAATGAAATTTAAATAAATCGAATATCTTAATTATAAAACATTTCGTATCGTTATCGTTTCAAAAAAAAAAAGGGGAAATTTAAATTATTTTTTTTTGTTTATGAATAATTAAAAAAGAAGAAAGAAAAAGAAAAAATTTGACATAAATTAAAAATAGACAAGAGAATCATCTGAAAACATGTTGATCTATTGAATATCTCACAGTAGCCTGCGTAGATAAAAAAAAAAAAAAAGGAATTCGATAAGGAATTTCAATATTTAATTTCAACAAAAAACGTTCACCAAAAATAAACAGAAGTAAAACGAAGCAGAAATGAAATAAAATAATGTTGAATATATTTTAATATTTGTTCAACGATATCAAGACAAATTTTTCAGAAATAATTTTTTTAATTTCTATGGTAAAATGTTAATGGAATAGTTAGTCGGGCATGTTAATGGGTAAAGAGATTTGAGCCGCAATAAACGCAACTCGGGTTAATCGAGTTTCTGGTTTTCCATACTCGAACTTGTCTACTTCGTTATAACGACATAATTACAGTGAATCACACTTATTATACACAAGGATGGAGGCTTGCGGAATTTTCAAATTAGCCTACACTTTACCGACATAATCCGATTATCGAACAGTTACTCGCTATCTACAATGTATATATCCCTACAATTTCGTTCCTGTGAATATCACATTACACAGCTGCAATCGACTAGGTTATACTGTGCATTTTATATGCTGTATAAATAACGCTTCTATATACCGCAAAAAAAAAAGCAATTTCATAATTGTTTCTTGAAATAATTAGAAAGGCGTTTATTTCGATAGTTTTATGATTGATTAAAGTAGAACGGTTTAGAAATCTGAAGTGAGGTACAAACTACATGCTAAAAAATGCAACTTCAAATTCTTCGGAGAACACTTTTTTTCTATATTCACTAATTCTTATTTTAAACTCTTGGAAATTTAATTGTTATATTTTCCGTTCTTATTATAATACGAATATTGTTATTGTGAATTCTGAATAAAATATATCCAAACACGAAATAAATCGAATTATTTTTTAGATGATTAGTTAATAAATATAATATTTAAAAAATCATGACTCACAAAATGAAACGTTGATATTCCTTTTCACTCTTTTCCATTATTTGATTTTGCTGGCATATTTAATTGAATGTGAATCAACTGTTGGAGAGAATGGAAAACACACTGACATCTGAAAATACAAATCGAAAGAAACTGAATAAATCTATTAACAAAGTAAAAATCTAATCAATTTCTCAAATAATTAATTATATTATTGTATAATTGATATTAATAATATTAAATGTGCAATAACAAATATTAAATTGTATAAAAATTATATATAAAAAGTAATGATTATCTTCAATGATTAATATTGTAGCAATAAAAAAAAGTTATAAATTGCAATAATTAAATTCATATTCTTTTCAAATTAATACAATATTATATATTAATTTTAATATTTATTTATTGTATAATAATGATGAAAAAAAAAATTAACGTTTAATTTTATTGTAATAATGTCTAATAAATTATTAAATAAATATGTATTATATAAACGAGATTAAGATTATACTGTAAAAAAATCGTACCAAGAGAAATATTTTATAATTGAGAATAAATATCTCGAACAGGATGAAACACGTCTTGCACTGTCGATTTTCAACAATAAAATGACATCACATATGTATCGGTATACAAAGCAATATTCCATTTCCTATTGGCTAGAAACATATACACCGGTTTATTAAATAGTTTTTCTATTGGTTAGAACCAAATTCAACGGTTCGTCAAGTAATTTTCCTATTGGTTAAACCGTTGCGGTTTTTTTGTTCAAAACCGCAGAAATATATTACAGGTTAAATTTTTCTAACTCGATGAATTATAATATATTCAAAATCGTATTCATTTTAATTTTTTATTTATATGTAAATATTCATGAATCTGATTGTCAATTTTGTTTTTTCAATATATTTTTAAATATTATATTTATGGAGATCGAAACACCATCTAACGACAGTAGATGTAATTAACCATCAACTAGCAAAATCAAAAAATTTAAATTTCTCAACTTCTGGGCTAAATTTCTTCTAAATTTCTGAAAGCTCAAATTAAAGATAAGTCTCTAAAACATAATTTGAAATTAGTTTTTTCTAATTTTAATCAATTATATTATATAAACGAGGTTATATGATATAATTGATATTGTTATATACAAATATCGTACAATTTTTTTATTTTTATTCATTTTTTCACTGAATTTTTTTACTATAATTATTTATAAAAGATACAAAAGCAATATTTTTTAAAGTTTCAATTTTTAGTTTTTAATAGTTGCATATTTTTTAATATTAATATGGTATAAAATAAAATGCACGAATCATTTTTAAAAATACACTTTATGAATATTTACAATTTCTGTCATATTTTCTCATTTTAAAATAGTAATGACATTTCGTTATTTTAGCATTTGCAAAGTAATTTAATAAAGAAAAGATTGAATTTATTTTTTATATAAAGAAATTGCTCTTATACGGATTTTCCGTTTGCGTAACATTTTATCAATAATTAATTATTATTTTTTATGAATATAATTTTTTTAAGAATAAAAAAGCAAATTTAAATAAATTTCATTTCTAAATTCTTCATTAAAATCAATTTTCTATAAAACATTAAAATATCTTTTTCATTATTTTAAACAATATTTTACAATACAAACACATTTCACCAAAATGTTACAAATATTCATCCAATATAACCTGTTACGCAAACTTCATAAATAATATATATCCATAAAATAAAGCGGTATTAATTGAATGACATCATATTACATGATACGAACTTATTTATTAACCGCACGCTTGTCATTAAACGTAATAATTAATATTAGTGTCTATATGTAATAAAATGTACAACCTGTAGGAGGTATATTATATCATATATCATATCTCGAAAATCGTACACACTAAGATTCGGATAAAATATCCTCCAATGTTTTATCATCGTGAAGTGGCGAGTGTCCTAATGTAGGATCGCTTTCCAAAAATTCTCGAAGTTCCGATTCTAGATCTGGAACTGCAGACGTTTCTGAAGTAGTTAATAAAGACGGAGGCGTTTGACTGTGTGTCATGCCGATTTGTATCTGCATAGGTGACTGATTCGTATTCACGATATTAATCGATTGATTTTGTTGACTGGTTGGACTGAGCAAATTAGTGTTTTGAATTGGTGAAGGAGCCGATAATAAATTCGACGGAACTTGATTATTACTAGATTGCGACAATAAATTATTTTCCGCAACGATTGTTGGATTATGAGTAATCGGTTCCACTTCCATAGGCTCTGGTCCGCCAAGGGGTGCAATACCCATAGCTCTTCGCAAACCATCTACAGGAGCGATTGCTGAGGGAGGAAGTTTTTTTGCTATTTCTGTCAAATTATCCGTAATTTTATCAGCTATTGCAACTTCCGTTTCTGATGGTTTAGAAACATTCGACAAATGAGCTGGCGGTGGAACCGAAAGTCGCTCATGTTGTACTTGTTTTAAACGGCCTAACATTTGTGATGTATCATCTAACCGATTTTGCAATGCCGCGCGTTCTTCGTTGAGTTTTAAGTCTTCCTCTGTAAAAGAAAATAAGATTTAAAATAAAATTTTATTATTTTGTATTATAAATATTTTATCTTTCAAATTTTTTATAATTACCTAAATTTTCTAAGAAATTAACATCAATTCCTAACTCCGATAGAGTCTTTAATTGATCGATATCAACTTTAATGTTCTCTAAAGATGGAATATTACGATTTACATCTTGCATTGGTTTTTCTAATAAATGTTTTATTTTCTCTTCTTCCTCTTTGAGTCTTCGTTTTTCCTCAAGGAACTTCTTAGTCTTTCTGTGATCTCCTCCTGTAAGAATATCCAACAAATCGTCCACCATAGTTAACGTATAATCACAGTCTTTAGCAAAATCTAAAATTGACTCTGCATATTGTACAGCAGTTTCATCACCATATGTTTGATACACCAAGTCTGTTTCTTCCTTCGTGAGATTAGCAAACGTGGAATCGTAACTTGGAGCATAAGAACCAAAGGCACCATAATATAAAGGTTTTACTGGTTTCGACATATTTCTCCTATCTTCACGAAATCCTGCTAATGCTCCTGTACCATGATTCAATTTACCTATAAGCTGCCCTAATGACACTGGTCTTTGATTAGTTCCTGGAATCACTCCGTCTCCCGGTACTATTATTTGTAAGCTAGTCGTTCCATCTTTCTTTTGCCTAAGAAAACCCATCTTGGAATTCAATCTTTTTAACGTTAACTTTTCAGACGCTGTTTTCGCGGCTCCTCGGGCTTGTTTCAAGATTTCCTCTGGTGTCATGTCATCCGGAATGGCTTCAAATTTACCCAAATTTGCTAATCTTATTTTCCTCTGATTCTCTTTCCTAAGTTCCTCAGCTTCTTCGTTACGTTCTTCTTGTTCTCGTTCTCGTTCAATTTGTTCTTCCGTTACAGGAATATCAGGATTATTAGGATCTTCTGTACCCAATTCGAATCCGAGTTCTTCTTTCGATATATCTTGCATATATGTTAAAACAGGTCTTAATTGTCGAAGTTTATCGGGTGTTACCATTTTTAGGCCAACATGTAATAATTTCTTTGCCGCCTTGTAATAAATAGTATCTGGATGATTGTACGTAGTGGCATTATCACACATTAATTTGAAATCTTCTACGAATTCATTTAAATTTTGATAACTGTTATCATCTATTTTTTGTTTTATAGTACTAAAATCCATAGGATTCGTAATGATTTGAGAATATCCAGGTGCAATACTATCTGTAACTGGCCAAGCAAAAAATTGCTGAGGATCACGTTTCTCCATTGACCTAAGAAGATGTTCTAATAATCGTTGAAGAGGTGTTCGTTCGGCGATTTTCCTAAGTACACAAGTTCTAGGTTCACGATGTGGAGAAAGAGAACTAATATGGCTAGTAATGCCAACTCTGTGTTCTCCACTAGATGGTGGTCTTGGAGGTAACAATTGATGATTAGGAATTTTTTTAGGAATTTCAACTAAACTTTCATCAGCATCTCCTACTGATTCTTGACTGGATTCTTCTCTTCTTCTTTTTTTATCTTTGTGATGATGCTTGTGCCTTTTATCCTTCTTTTTCTTTTTCTTTTTAAGTTTTTTATGCCCTATATACCTATCGTATTCAGATTCTTGCGTTACAGAGCAATTGAGACCCAACTGTTGTTGGTAGACACCCAAATGTTGGGACAACATTGTCTGACTTGGAGATTCGTTGCCGTATTCAGGTGTTCCACTACTACCCCCAATCTTTAAGATTAATTTTAAAGTGGGGGGTTTATCCGTGGTTGTATAATGTCCTTCTGTTAAAAAAAAAGAAAATAAAATATATTTATAACGTATCAAAATCTTTAATATTTTTTAATTGTATGAAGACATTAAAGCATTAAGCTATAAATAAAATTTAGTGCATGCAACAAAAATGTCTTGCAGAAAATCATAGAAGTGCAGAATAACAGCATAAGTGTTGTAATGCAAAAATATGGTGCTAAATATTACATTATATATATGGTACTAAATATTGCATTATATCTTGCAGGATTATATGAAAAAAAAAAATAAATATAATTTTAAATTATTAAAAATCTACAGGATATCAATAGAAAGGTAGTGGGAGAAGTTGATAATAATAATAACAAAGATGATTTTATAACAGGACAGTGACCTTGTTTTCACATTCAACAAACTGGAAGCGAGATGGAAGTAGCTTGATTTAAATTAAATAAACCTTGATAGAAGTATGCAATAAAATAATTGTTGTTGTATTGATCGACTGAATCTGTAGGAATAATCAAGGAAGGAGCAACTGTTGAAATTGTAAATACCTCATAAGAGGTAAAGCAAAAGCATATATGGCCTCTGATGCCATAATAAATAACAGCCAAGGAACTAAGTGATTGAAGTGCAACAGATATAATTATATCTCTATATAGATCCCTACAATTCTTTAGAATAAAAACAGCAAATTTGACTTATTAAAGATCTTGTTGCACTTCAACTAATTTTAATAGACAAAAAAAAAAACTAAAAGGGTTTGGAACATCTGAGTAATTTTGGAAGCACAGCTAGTTCTGTCGTGCAACCAGTCCATGTCCGTTGTTACACGTCACTTACTTCCACGTCGCACCTGTTGCTGTGGAACCTTCGTTTATACTTTTGAATCCACCTCACTTCTACTCCAACCTCACTCTCAGTTTGTCCGTGGTGAAAACGTAGTCAAAATTCCTGTGCATTATTAAACTATGAGTACAAAAAGGATTCCAATGAAAATTTTTAAAAATTTCAACCATTAAGGTCCTTGTACTCTGTAAATCTTTCAAAATCTATATTTTGTGCATATTCATATTTTGTGGATAATTTTTTCATTTGAATCCTCATGTGATTGACATAAATGTCAATACTAAAGAATTATAGTGAGATAATCCAATAATGTCAAAATCGAGCAATAAAAACGAATACAAAAATAAAATAAAATGAGGATAAACGGAGTATTTGAATAACCAAAGACACCCGTTACTTCAATGTATAGTGCATCAAGTGAGAACTCAGAAATATATTATTTAACGAGAACACCTGATAACATAGCAACGAGCTGTCAACGCGAGTGCGATTCGATCAACAAACATAAAAACAAATATCGCATCGAAACGACAGTCGAAATGCCTTTTCAATTTGTGGCGCGACCGGTATTTTGTTCGAAAACACGATATACAGCATGATATGCTATTCAAAACGCGACATATAATAACGCGATAACCTTTGATGCCGAGATGATGTTATAGAACAATTAAAAGTAACCAAAAACGATAAGACGTTCGAGATACATCGAATACAACCCAGGTTCTCACCTTCGTGTCTTTCGCGCTTGTGCTTTTTATGTTTCTTCGAACCCATGGTTTGCCGGCCCACAGCCTGATAGAGTATTCTAACGATAAACAGTAAACACTACGTCGTAAACCACCACGGAACGCGGTGGATCAGAGTACCGCGCTCCGTTACGTATGTAGACAATACAGCGGCAGCCATTGAAGACGTCACAGAACTCCAAGCCGTTATGGAGGATGCAAGTCTTTCGTTTCCCCCGCCCGCTTGTATTCGCCAGCTGCAGTGTCATGGCGTCGCGTCGTTCAAAGAAGCGCGCGTTATAAATTCATTCGAATATATATTTATTTGTGTTCAAACACCGAAAAATCAATTTATACATTTTTCAAGATACTTTTCTTACAATGCAAAACAGGTACTAAATTTTTCTTTTATACAAACAAATTATTTACAAAAAATTCAGTCATACGCAGTAACACCATTATTAGAATTTTTGAATGTAGATTGTATATTCTAAATTATATTTATAGCTTTTAATCATTAATTTACATTAATTTAACATTAATTTACACTCATTTTTGATTCTATTGTATTTAATTTTGATTCCATTTAAATTATGTTACTATTTCAATATATATATATATATATATATATATATATATATATGTATCATATCACTCTATTTACAAATCCCGCCATTGCATTTTCAATTGTATATAGTTACGAACAAAAAACATAATATTGGATTTAAGAGTATAATTTACTTCATTAATTCTCTGCAAATGAAAATAAATGTAAATGTAAACTAATATAACCAGGAAACTCGGACGTTTTATCGAATTTTATAAGTTGCACAATGGCGTCTTGAATGGTATACAGACATTAACAACGTTATATATTTTGAAGATTTAAAATTGTCTTTCATAAGATAGAATAGTATCTTATCACTGTACATGCACGCAGATGATTCAAGGGAACATTGTGTATGGAGCTTTATAGACGAAAGGCGCTTCCTAACCTACAAAAGATACTTGAAGTAGTAGCACTTACCGTACACCGAGGAATGAAACTTTCGACCGTATTCATAGACATATTTTACCGTACGATATTTTCCCACTAAACGAGCAAATATAATGACGAATTTTTATTGAAATTTTCAATAACTTACCACAGCGTCGACCCAGTCGCGATGCAATTAAAGGGGCAAACGATCAGCTGTTTCGGCGCAACGTTGGGCACAACAGAGGGAGAGAAAGAGTAATGTATTTTCTCAGTGGTTTCGAAAAAAATTCACGTACAGCGCAGATGTGCCGACTTCCCTTGCGTTCCACTATGCCTTGAACGCTAAGGTGCATCGACCAGCCAATTCCTGTTTGTGCCTCCCTTCGAATCTCTCGGGTTCGATCGGAACACACCGAACTGAGGCTTGTCGACCTTAAGTACACAAAGACTGGGAAATTGTCGATGTTTCACCGACTTCCAAATCACTTTACATCTTCACTTAATATCTTTTTAACACAGAATCGATACTATTCAATATTTAGCACATTTCACTATTTTTCAAGCAAAGGGTGCTTGAGATATTTATAGATAGATATTTTATCATTCAATTAATAGTTAAGGCATTTTAAAAAATCAATAAACTATCTGTGGCACTCAAATATACTACACTTTTAAAAACGTGTCGGCAATAATACACATACATAGTTATACGTACATACAATATACATACATACATACATACATATATTGTCAGACCGACAAGTAACGAACGTGACAATGGATTTGCATTATCAATGGAACGTGAAAATATATGAAACTCAAGAACTTCACAAATTGTAGTTATAGCTTTAGCTTTTGCAATAAAGTGGTACATTTTATTGACAATTTCCATGCATTTGAAATATTAATGCGATTTTTCTTACAAATAAAATGTCTTACGAGTCAGATCCTAGACTGCCAATATCCGACACTTGTGATGAGCTCTTTACACATTAACAAGTTAACTGATCAATTATATCCTTGTTAAATAAAGAGAGATACGTATAGAAACGAACTTACACACAGAATAAGCACTTAAATAAAGCATAATTTCAAAATGTCTTTAACGGCGCTTTCCTTCTTTTGTATTGACCACAAAGAAGCAACGGAATATTGTAACCAAAAAAAACCGCTTCTTGGATACTTTTTTTTCAATCCAAAATTTACCTTATATTGGTAGTCGAACGAATTTTTTATATTTTCAATCATATGTGATATGTACAATCTTTAAAACTGACACAATCTTTAACGTTGTTCATTCGAGGGGCGTTTATCACAAATAACGCTTACGCTATCTATGCTTTAAGTATCATTAAATGGAAATAACATTTCAATGTAATTATATAATATAATGGAAAAAGAATTAAATTCCATTTAGATAAGAAATAATTAGGATAAACATTGAGTTATAATTTATGATCATGAATCAAACAATATTTATTTGATACGCTGCATTGGAAATAGTTATCTTTTCTTTCATAATTCGATTTCGTTTTACAGATTGAACTTATTTATGTATATATCTATACATATGTCATTGATCCTTTGACGGAAGGATTCGAAATGCAATACATAATGGAATTTTCCCGAAAGAAAGGTTTCCGTTTCCTGCTGCCACCTAGAACAGGATACAGGCAACCGATGAAGTTGCGATTACTCACCGCATCGTGAACGAAAATGTAGTAATTCATACGTATACTATTACAGATGTGTTATCGTCACGATACAGTACTGTAACCCTGAAATACGGGACACACATGTGCACATGCATAATGTACATACAAACATATTCACGTAACGCGTAGAAGCGTACTTTTGAATAATCAAGCTGCCCGCAAAATTTATGCATCACGATCGTTTCTTTCACTATGATCGATATTAACGCTCGATAATAAATAATAGATTATCGGTCAAATAACAATCCAATTGGCAATTATACATTTAAACATTTCGAAATGCACTTAAAGAGATTCGCGATAATCGATACTCACAAGTTAACGTCCCTTTCGGTTTTTCTGAGGTTCGAAATCACTGTTGTTTAGCTATTTGCATTATAGATGCATTTTTGAATTGTATAGACACTAACAACGAGATTGCTTTGTTTCGCGAAAGAACATTGATCACATCGAAACTCATGTTCTTCTTGAGATTCTCTTTGTTGAAACGCGGAATTAGTAGGGGAGGATGGCATATCGGGACAGAGATACGGTCCTGAAAAAAGCCGGTGAATTCACGCATACACGTGGCTATACTCATGCATTATTCGCGGCAATAACTTTGTGATTCATCGTTGCATATATTTTGTTAAAAGTTTGAAATATCATCAATTTCAATTAAAAAATTTAATCTAAAATTTAAATCCAAAATTATTTATGATTAAATTTAATTTACTGATTGCTTAAAATAATTTAACCGAAGAAAATTTTTGAGTATAGTTGAGAAATAGAATAAAATTCGATTTTCCTTCACCGTATAAATTTTCTTCCCCATATAAATTTTTAAAACAATTAAAAGATACAATAATCACATGCATTTTTTTTCATTTTTTACATGCATAGAAAAACTATTATTTATATCATTACTTAATCATTACAACACATATCGATTCACATATTCTCACAGTATTTTTTCTTCAACTTCTTTTCTTTAATTTTTCTTCATCCATGTTAAGTATGTATTTTCAATTTTTCGACAAAATAACACTTTAATAACAATCGCGAATCCACCAACAAAGCTAAGAGAACTGTAACACTAAAAAATTCTATCTATTACATGAGACTAACGCGGCAATTTCTTTTACCCTTTCAGTCTCCTGGTAACGTGGCGTTCCTCCTACCATGATTCGATGATAGCCAATGGCGGGCCACTGAGGGTAGTTTCGCGATTGGTACGGTCCTGGGGAAAGCCGGTGTGCATGCACGCACACGTGGGTGCCCCCATCGTGGCGCCCATGCTCGACAGCCGGCAGAAGCGTCGTATCGAGGGGCCCCCTGGCGTATTGGCATACACATACGTGCAAGTATATATACACATACACACATATATATATATAAAACACCGATCAGGCCGAAGCCACGAGTAGGCCTTGTGTCAGCGTAGTGAGCGCAGACGGTATTCCAAACGCAGCGCGTTCGTTATTCACGCGGAATTGGAGAAAGAGAGAGAGAAAGAGAGAGAGAGGGAGAGAAAGGAAGGCAAAGAAGAGGCGTGCTCTTACGTACGCGTGGGCCTATACTAAACATCGATATACTATATCCTTATACACATACCCCTCCGTTCGCGAGTTGAAGCGCGATCATACGCGGCGTTATCGTGTACAGCACGCGCTCGGCTGGGATTCGGCACCGAGCGGCTGGACGAAACGTGCGAGGCACGAGACGAGAGGCGCGGCTGTGTGTACATATATACAGATACACACAACCTTTGGTGCGATAAAGACGACCGATAGGGAAACACGAACGAACGCCACTCTCGTTTTCCGTCACTTCTCTTTCTTTCCTTTCCACGATCATTCGTAGTTGCTACGTTCTCCCTCCCCTCGTTCTCGGTTTCTTTCGTCGTCTCTGTTGCTCGCTTTCCTGCCTGCCTGTCTCTCTATTCTCTTGTAGTGTGTTGTCAGTGGTACACAGTCATAGCACGGCCGGCAGAAGCCAGTAATATCGCACCGGCGAATGGAGAACGGATTCGCTAATCGTCGTAAACGAAAGTGCGGGTGTTTCGTTGTTAACCAACATCCCCGGCTAATTTATCGCGCGGCTCGTGTTCAAAGAGAATAAAACGGTGCGCGGATTGAACAACTTAAGAGTGTGAAGAGAAAGTTGTGTATTCCTCTTTTGGTGTTTTTTTTTTCGTGGTGGTAAAATAAAGAGAAATGGAGCGGTTCAGAGTTACGCCGGCCAATAATACGTCGCAATACGCACCGCAGCAACAACAATCGCTGGACTATGGTAAGTGGTTGTTTTTATTTATTTCGCGTTATACACATGCAACTAAAAGGTTAAGTGTCAAACGTGGCGAGAGTGTACACGTCACTTACTAATGCATTCGCGTATCTTTCATATCGCGTTACGTCGAAATTATACATGTATGAATGATTGCGAGTTACCTGTTTCAAATGTATAATTTAACACCCCAGAACTGTTGATCAAGATTTCTTCTTCTCGGGCACTTTCCGCAAATCTTAAATTACAGATCGTTATAATTAGAATAAGTTTGTACAAAAGCGCGAGTATTTTCTTCGTTAATAAAGAATTAAGAATATACCAGTAAAAACGTTGAGCAGAGCTCCGCGATATTAAAGGTTTTCGCGTCAAGGTCGATCGATTCTCGCGAGGGCCCACCACCAAGAAGCGTCATGATGAATTTCATCACTCTCGTCTTTTCCATTTAAGTCTCCATTGAATTCTTTAACCGTTTTCTCAAATTTCTCGAGTCATTATTCAAGTCATCTCTTATTAAATTATGAGTAATTCTTTTCCTAATTAAAAAATATTTAATAATTAAAAAAATAATCTCTCAAAACATCGAAATCATCGAAAAATGATCGAAATTGGCGTCAACGCGCCATAATTCGCATCGATCAAGAAAATCGTTAAGCAAATTTAAAACTACTCGATATTTATCGAGGCGGCGACGGCTATAACCGCAAGCTACGCTTTGATTCGTGATGTCGGCGCAACGCAACACCACCGTGTCGATTCAAAGAAACCAGTCGTTCGTTTCAACGTCGGGTATCGTGTGAAACGCATATCACGATATATATTTACCACACTGTAGCGAATCCAGACAAGACATATGATTACAAACGGTAGCGGTCGCGTTACCGATTTCCAGACGTTTTCTCGCTGACTCGGCGACCTTTGCGGCTTCGTCTCGTTTACTCATCACGCGTTCTACCTGCCGTTGTCCGATTTGTTTTGCAAAATCTTTCGCCGCTCGTCGCGTGTCATCTGTCTATCGATCGGTTAGCCGCTTAATAACTCGATACGCGTTCCGTGAGTCAGCATTTCATTCGAGACCGATTGTTATTCTAACTCGAGATCCCAGCGGGCGGACCTTGGTGTTCTACGTTTACACACACGCTCGTCTATTTTCAGACGTTTTCCAGAGGCGTGGTGATGTGATCTCGAACAGTCGATCGTGGCTGATTTGCATAGGGAATTACGTTTTACTCCAATGAATGAGCGAATCATTTAGTTATTAATTTTTTCTAAAAAATTTCCCTTCAAAATTTCTCTCATATCCAAAGACTGGAATATTGACAAATTTTCATGGCGATATACAATTACTAACATATGCTATTTGTATAGCTATTCGATAAATCTTTATCCAGCCACTTGTCGATCAATTTTTTCTGAAAAATTTCTCTTTAATACGTCAGACAATTCAAAGACTGGAATATTGACAAATTTTTATAGCGATATACAATTATTAATGTACGGCTATTAAGAAATTGTGAACCAGTCATTTATCGATCAATTTTTTCTGAAAAATTTCTCTTCAACGTGTCATGCAATCCAAAGATTGAAATATGGACGAATTTTCATGATTATATATAATTAGTAATGTATGTTATTTGCATGCGCAATTTCATGAGACATATAGAAAAAGAATTGGGCGTTGAAGTCAGGGGAGTTAAAATGGGGAGCGTTTCGTGATATGTCTGTCCTTGATTCGATTCAGTCATGCGTTTTTTGTCCTCCAGGGATCGTAAAGGGTTGTTTTCTCGTGTGTGGTTAAAAATCCTTGGAAAACGATGTTGATGTCCTTGTGATATATACCGAAAAATCTCTGTATAATTAAATTTCTAAAAATACACTAGCAATAACGTATTATCGATCCAAAGCGTTATTTTGTGCTTGTCTATTATGAGTTAAGGGAAGAAAAGTGTTATCTTAATTTTATCATTTTTTTCAAATAATAAAAATGTCGAGACACAAATGAATTCATAATCAAGCCTCTTTGTTCAAAATTCTATTGACTCAAAAGCCAACTTTATATCCATTTCTTTTAATCCTTTTATCATTTATTACAAGTAAAAAGTTAACGGATCCAAAAGGAACAATGCACCGACGAGGATCGGTGAGCATGGTACAACGACCATAGGGTGTAGAAAAAACGCGAGAAACGTTCGTTTGTGCTCGCTATTG